CTAATGCTGCTTGGGCTCCAATTCCTTATTTCAGGCTGACCCACATTAGTGGATGACTTTCTCATCCTGCCTGGGCTTAGACCCACAGTCAGGGTAGTCCCCATGTCTGGATATTCTTCTACCCTCTGAGACCCTTACTGCCACATGAGGCCTCCTGCCATTGGGACGTGGCTTCATCTTGCCTTGGCTCTGATATCAAACACAGGCTGCTTTGTCCACATCAATGCCTTCCTCATCTCCCATGTGCTCTGACACCCATGCCAGGCTGTCTGTCCCCAGTGATACCCTTCTTACTTCTGCTTTGCCCGTGACATACAAACCCCAAAAGATGTCTTTTTTCATCCAGTTGAGCTATGAACCCTCATGCTCTCCTCACACTGCCTGGGCTCCTCATTCCATGCCAGATGCGTATCTTGTACTGCCCTACCCTTAAGACTGAAATTTTCAGAGAGGTGCAAAAGGGGGCAAAGAGGAAAGTGTAGAGAGAACAGAGGGAAAATAAGAGGAAGATGTTAACATCATACTTAACGGTAAAAACAACTATAACAACAAAAACACCTGAACATTTTCCCTTAATATTGGAATAAAGCAAGGGTATCCACTCTCACCACTTCTATTCCACATTGCCCTGGAGGTCTCTGTCAGGGCTGTAAGGCAAGAAAAAGAAATAAAAAGCATCCAGAAAGGAGAGGAAGAAGTAAAACTATCTATATTCAGAGATTATATGATTGACTTTTTTGATTCCTAAGGAATCTACAAAAATTTTTATCAAAATGATAGTACATTGAGCAAGGTTATAGGATGAAATGTGAATATATTAAAATCAATTATATTTCTATATACTACCAACAAACAATTGGACAATGAAGTATTAAAAATAGCATTAATAACAGCATAAAATATGAAATAATTAGGGATATATTTACTGAATCAAATGCAGGACTTTGCACGGAAATCTACAAAGTATTTCTGAGAAAAACTAAATATGATCTATTATAAATAAATAGAGAGATACAGAGTTTTCACAGATTGGAGGATTCAATACTGTTAAGATACCAATTTTCATCTATAGATTCATCTATAGATTTTATGTAATATGAACTAAAATCCCATGAAGCTTCTTTATAGAAATTGAAAAGATCATTCTAAAATGTCTATGAAAATGCAAAAAACTTCAAATAGTCAAAAACATTTTTTAAGAAGAAGATCAAAGTTGGATAATTTACTTTACAGCTACATTAATCAGAACAACATGGAATTGGTGAAAGAATACATGTGTAAGTCAATGAAACAGAGTAAATGAAATAGAGCTCCCAAAATACACCCACATATATAAGGTCTATTGATTCTCAACAAAAATGTAGAAGTAACTCAATGGAAGAAAGAATAATATTTTCAACAAATTGTGTTGAAACAAGTGGACATCCACGTGGAAGAAAAGAACCTTGACCCTTACTCACATTATCCACAAAAAATTAGCTCTAAGTATATCAAAGGTGTAAATATGAATGCTAACTTTTTAAAGAAAACCCAGAGAAAATCTTAACTTCTGATTGGGTAAAGTTTTCTTAGGTGGGATACCAAAAGTCTGACCCATAAAAGATAAAGATTGATAAACTGAACTTCATCTAAATTAAATTCTTCTTTTCTTTGAAAGACACTATCAAAGAAAGCAAACAGAAAGGCCACAGAATAGGAGAAAATATTCTCATTACATATATTTTATAAAGGATTTGTATCTAAAATATATAGAGAACTCATATCTCAATAAAAAAGACTAAGAATGCAATTTAAAAATGGGAAAAATTTTATATATTCAAAAAGAAGATAAGAATGGCCAGTAGGCAAATGAAATACATTTACATATCATCAGGAAAGTACAAATTCAAACCTCATGACATACCACTGCACGCCCACCAGGATTGATGGGGGGGATGTGGAAGAGCACTTATGCATTGCTGGTGAAATGTAAAATTCTTCAATTACTTTGGAAAATATTTTAGCAGTTCCTTATAAAGCTAAACATGCACTCTATGATTCAGCCATTCACACCTAGGTATTTACCTAAGAGAAATGAAACCATATGTCCACACAAAGACTTGTACATGATTTTGTATTCATAATGGCCCAAACTAGAAAGGTCCATCAACAGATGAATGGATAAACAAATTGTGGAATAAACACACAATGGAATGCTACCCAGCAGTAAAACAAACTATGGATCTGCAACAAGGACGGATGTCAGAAACATTATACTGAAAGAAAGAAGCCAGCCATAAAATAACATATACTGTGTAATGCCACTTATATGGCATGCTGGAACAGACAAAAAAAAAAATCTATAATGACAGGTTAGGTCAGTGCTTATCTGGATCCGGAATGGCATGTATGCTAAAGGGTTGAGATGGAATTTTGGGGATGATAGAAATGTACACTGGTCTACACATTTTTCAAAAATCATCTAATTATATATTTAACTTTTAATTTCACGTGTCATACTTCAAATTGATTGAGTTATTTTAAAGAGCTTTAAAATATATTATCAGAAACTTTAAAAAGGCAACTTGATTTTCTATATGTAAGGGGCAACTATGAACAAAACAGTTTGGTGAAGGCCTTTTGGTCAGCCCAAATGCACAAACATGGACTAGGTAAAGTGATCATGTGATGCTCTTCATCTATTCCCTCCCTTTCCTGCTTCCTACCTTAAGGACCCTGAAATGTTATTCTAGCCTGTTTAAAACCACTTTACTATGAATAAAATTGCATTCATCTCCTTTTTCTTCTGACATGAAAATTTATCCTTTGTAAGACCCCTAAAGCCTTTTTCTCTTTCTGTAGAAAATAAAGAACTGCATCAGTTATTTCCAGCTGATTTGGCTAATATGTTAGCACCACCTAGTAAAGATAAGAAAATATTCTTGATTTCAGGAATCCTGGCAAGAGAGTGGAAGGATAGGGTTACCTGTGGTTCAGGGCACATCCAACCCTCCAAGAAGGCTGTGGGAGGAGCTGAGACAGGAGGGCAGCCAAGGGTTGCACGCCCATCCTTTGTTGCTCATGTAGGTGCAAGTTGGCCAGCAACTGTGATGAGCTTCATGGACCAGTGTATCTTGATTATACCAGTGTACACTTACTGCAATGTTTCTCTTAGATTTTGCCTTCGTATTAAAAAAGACTGCATTTTAGGTGACACTTTTAGTGATTTGCCAATGGGTTTATGACTTAGCCTGTGTTCACCAGAAAACATATCCTGAGGCAAAACTGAAGTGCTCTTGCTTTTCTAGGGTGTGTAATACTGATGGAAACAGGAGTGAAGGAAAAGGGGATCCAGGAATGGAAGGAGAGGGAAAAGAAAGGAGTTACTATGGCATCTCAGGACATTTCATAGGGAGAAATAGAGGGAGAATCATTTATCCCCTGGCTCCCATCTTCTGTTCATCTAAGGTCCACCCCATGGATGGCAAACGCTACAGTAATTTCAGATTGCACATTTGTGAGTACTGAGTAGGTCCTGTTGCATTTGGACCTCATTGCTAACTGAGAAGCCTGAAGGTGGGAGGTGAGAGACAAGCAATGTGGACAGGTGGTGAGGGTTGTGGATTTGTTCCCATGTAAAGCTGATCTGAGCTCTTGCAGAATTGCATGGTGAAGCAGGAACTGGAATGAAAAATAAGGCCAAGATACTCAGAGACTTGTTGAAGCCAAGATCTGAGGTGTTACATTGTTGGATGACAATAACATTTGTAATGTTGTTTTCAAGTTTTAGAACATATAAAATAGTAGAAAGGGGGATCATTCTTGCTATGTTGTTGGCTTTTCTCAAGCACCTTATTCTCACTGTTTGTTTTCTATAGCCACGATCCCCAACAGGGCATTTCTCTAAAAGAGGTACATGCAAACAGGAGAAATAGACTGAAACATGAATGTGGAGGGGAAGGTATGATAATGCAAATCTAAGTTTCCTGATAATTCCATTGCACACGAACAGGACACAGAGTACAAGTAGTTGTAAATAGACTTTTCCAGAAAATAATTAGGGAGCTAAATTTATCTCTTTATCTTAATACCAACCATTCAACTTCTGTGGTTACATTTTCTGTTCCAAAAATAAAATTGATTTTTTAAAAAAAGGCAATGCTATTTAAAATTTATGTCAGAAACATGCCAACTTGAGAACCAGGGCCTATATTTAGATATTTACCCATATAAAGTCTTGACAATAGAAAAGAAAACCTTAAGCTTTGTAGAAAAAGTAATTAATACAGAGAAGCAGTTACGTATAATTAACCATTCATTAGGTCCTGGAATGGCCCAAGGTAGTCTATCAAGCAGAAAATGGACTTGATTTGTAAGTGTTGTTGGTTGACCACAAGTAGGAATGTGTAATCATCTTCCTCAGTATTAGAAGTGTGAAGCACAGAGGACCATTCAGTAAAGAAAAATACATGACCTATGACTCTGGGTGAGCAGACATTCCTCAGGTACACAGTGGTGACATACAGGGCAGGGTGGACTGTGGTGCACATCGGTCTGTTTCTTGGCCAAGGTGCAGGAGGTTCTCTTCTAAGATGAGAACCAAAGGATGGGGGCCAGTCATAGCGAAAACGAGGTTCCTTGCCTTATACTAAGAACCACGGACAGCTCCAGGCTGCACCAGAAAAGGCACATTATTTTCCCATTCCTGGGATGATAGTCCAGTGTCTCCACGTCTGATTCGAACTCCAGCTTCCCGATAATAAAGCAAACGTACATATCCAGGCCTCTCTTTAACACTCATTATAAATTATTTATGTAAGTAGGGAGGGCCCAGTGCTCACATGAAATGTTCATGGGGTGAGAGTGAGAGAAATAGTTTAAAGAACCAATTTAAAAAATGGTTTTATATTGCATAAATAATTAATCGGGCCGCCATACAAGGGGCTGGATGACGGGTCAGGCGGGAAAGCCCGTGGGTGGGGGCAGGGGCGGGGATCCCCGCATCGCTGTTAGAATGCTCGGTGACTGTGGGGGAGAGCGGATCCCACCCAGGTTAGGTCAGAGGAGCAGCGCTATGTGCTCCGGGCTCCCGGCTCTCCTGCTGCCCATCTGGCTCTCCTGGACCCTGGGGACGCGAGGCTCAGAGCCCCGCAGGTGAGGTAGGGGCTTCCCCCGGGCTACGCAGCCTCCCTCTCTGCTCCGTAGCTCGCAGTCCCGCGGGCAGAGGCGCTCCGCTGCACTCGTGGGCTCGGCCTGAGCCGCAGCTGGGCGGGGGGTCGTAGCGAAGGGGTCGGGCCGGGGAGGGAGCGGGGGGAAGCGGAGAGCGTTTCCTTCGCGGTCTCTGCCCACGTCGCCGTCGCCGATGATCCTCTCCTTCCTGGGTCGCACGGAGCCCAGAGGAGCTGGCAGCGCCAGCCCTGCCCCGCGCCGCGCAGCCGCGGCTCCGGCTTGCTGTTCCCGGCCGGGCTTCGGGTCTCGCTCCGCAGCTGCCGAGGCAGGAGGCAGCGCTCGGCCTCCGGCTCGGCCTCCGGCTCGCTCTCTCCTCCCCCCTCCCCTAGCTTCCGCGCCCGCTGCTCCTCCTCTCCCCGCGCCCGCTCCTCCTCCTCCCCTCCCCCTCCCCCTGCGCCCTCCTCCGCTCCGGGCCAGCGCGGCGGCGGCGGCAGCAGCAGGAGCAGCCCCGGCTGCGGGTCGCGACGGCGGCGGGGCGCCCCCTCCCCCGTGCCGGGGCGCGGCGGAGGGATGTGGGGCTTTGCGGGAGGAAGGCTTTTCGGCATCTTCTCGGCCCCAGTGCTGGTGGCGGTGGTGTGCTGCGCCCAGAGGTAGGGTCGCGGGTGGGTTGACGGGAAGCGGGCCGGGCGCCGGGCAGGGCGCGCGGGTGTGCGCGCTGGGCGCTGGCGGGCGAGCCGCCGCCTGACCCCGCTCTCTCTGGCCCCTGTCCCTCCCGCAGCGTGAACGATCCTGGCAACATGTCCTTTGTGAAGGAGACGGTGGACAAGCTGTTGAAAGGCTACGACATTCGCCTAAGACCCGACTTCGGGGGTAAGTAGGGTGTGCTCGGCCGCTGCGGGCAGCGCGACCCACCGCGCTGGCGGCCTGGGTGGAGGAGGGAGGCGGGGGCCGCTTCCGCCGAGCTGCGGCTGGGTGGGGAGGGGGGCACTTCGCCTGCGCCCCCTCCTCGGGTAGCCCCCCCATCCTCAGAGCTGCTCTAGCCGGTGCCCGAGCCGGGCTGATCACCGTGTCGTGCGCTTCCCGCAGGTCCCCCGGTCTGCGTGGGGATGAACATCGACATCGCCAGCATAGACATGGTTTCCGAAGTCAACATGGTGAGTGCCTGCCCTCCCCAGGGCTGTCCCCGAGCCCCTGCCCCGCTGTCTGGGCCCACAGGCGTCCACAGTACCGGGCCAGAGGCCTCCTCGGCCGGGCTGAGCTTCCCGGGCCCGCAGAAGGAGCGGCGCTCCCGGGCGCAGGTCTCCTGTTCGCGAGGCTCCCTCCGCCCTCCTGAGTGCGCGGGGGTAATCGTTGGCGTCAGAGCCGCGCGGAGGGCGCACCCTTCCCGCCATAGGAAGGGGTCCTGGGCTCACCGGAGGCTGGGCTTTCACCGCCGCCCTGGTGCTGCCAGCTCCTCCCGCCGTCTGTCCCCTGGTCCTGCGGCTGCCCCAGTGCCTTCTCGCCTCCTTAGCAACAGGCGCCGGGGAGCGGGGGGAGGAGAGGAGAGTTGTGGGGGTGGCTCGTATTCTCGGTAAGAGCTGCTTAAGGGTTCCTTTGTTGTCTTTTGGAAAGAGGTGCTGGCCGCCGGAAAGCGCGGTGGGTCTGTGTGTTCCTGGCTGTCTCGGGTCAGTTTCCTTGGTGTCAGTGGCTTTTCCGAGGGCAGGCTCGTGACAGTGAAACCCGGTCCTCATCCACCAGGCTCTGTCAGAGGTGCTGACGGCCCGGGCGGCTCTGAGAACTGGAGGGCCTGGGCAGCTTACGGGCTTTCTCTGCTCGGAGAGGCGAAGGCGAGGGAACCAAGTGTCCCTTAGGGCTATGTTAACGGTGTTAACGGTGACGGGATTCAGTATTCTGACCTGTGGAAAGTGGAGGTCCGTGTCCCGAGGTGCGAAGTGGGTGTCATGGGTTTTGCTCAGGATCCTTTAAGACAACAGGCAATAAGGAGAAAAATGACCCCTTTCATTTGTTAATTGAGCTGAAATACCAGGGGATTTGGAAACGGGTTTAAGTTTCTGTTGAGTGACACTTTAGAAATTATAAGAATGAGAATTTGGAAAAAATATATTTTTTGGAAGAAATCGTTTGGCAACTTTTTTTCCCTAAAATATAACACCGAGAATATAATGAGGCATGGGATAGACTCGATAGATTTCTCAAGTCTGGTGGACATCAGAGCCACATGGGCAAACTTGTTTTAAATGCATACTCCCAGGCTCTGATTCTGATCCAGTGGTCTGGAGTGGAATCTTGGGGTCTCTGCATTTAAAACTAGTGCTCCAGGTTTTTTTTAAGCAGCTGTTTTGTGAACAATATTTTGAGAAACATTGCAATAACATAGAAATGTGGTTGTTTACAAATAAACTAAAACCATGATTTTTAAAAAGACTGTTTAACAAGATATACTTAAAAGTATATCCTAGTATGGATTTTGTAGAAAGAAATCTGACTACACGAAACTATATTTTTTATCAATTTTTTCACTCTTAACCTAAAGTTTAAAATGATAATGTGTGATTTAAAAAAAAAAAAGTACCTTTCTTTCAATGTATATCACTAAGGACATTTATATACAAGTGTTAATAGTAAATAAATAGTTAATAATAAAAGCGTTAGCAAGAAACAGACTTTACATACATTACACTAAAAACGTCACGTATATTTTACTTTTTGTAATTTTGTAAAAATAATTCTGTCAAAAATATGTTTTGTTTTATGACCTTAAGGAAACAAGTTAATATATTCAAGATTTACTCTGTAGTCTGTGATTTCCTTTATTGGCAACTGCACATTCTATAGAGAAGACAGTTTTGTACAGAAGTTAATCGAGTTATTTAGTGGATCTTTATGTCAAAAATTATATTGGATGTCAAATGATGGAGAGAATATACTGATGTGGCGCTTTAAGAACTCTGTATAGTACTAAAACAACCAGGGGAATGGGGAGAATGTCTTGTTGCAAATCATTGCACATTTTCTTTAAATTAATTTTTAAACTTAGTTATCCACTTGTTTAGACATCATGCTGATACTTAGTACCTTAAAAACTTCATAAGTAATTGCTTAATTCATGCACTATGAATTGAGGTGTCCCAATTTTCTCTGGACCCAATAATAGAAAGACAAATCGAGGATACAAGCCATTATATTGGATAATCTTTAAGTGCATATCCCAAAGCCAGTAATTATGCGTAATGTAGCCATAGTATACTTGTATGCTTTTTTTTTTGCATTCTCATGATGGAAATTTTTGTGGTTCTCTACACTAAGTTTATTATAAAGAAAAACTGGGGATTGATGGTATGGGAGATTGAAGGCCATTGGACAGATGTACTGACTAGCATCTGAAATATCTTCCACAAGTGGATTGGCAAAACCGTTCGCTAGAAAAATCTGATTTCCCTTAACTCGTGATCAGGATCATAGCTCATGATCATAGCTATGATATTTGATTTTTTTTAATTGAAGGAACTTCAAATATAGCAATGATTAAGTATCATTTTGGAGGTAACATTTTATAGGGAAAG